AAAATTAACAATAGGATTTACTGCGGTGGGAAATGGTCAGACAGTGCAGAATGAAAAAAAGGTAGGGGGGGGTCAATAAATACCCCTTTAAGGGAAAAGATTGGCAGTGCAGCAGTGACACACATGGACTTCAAAACTCAACCAATAAAAAACAGTGTAAGGGTAGGTATTTTATGGTTAGAAGTAAAAGCACTAGGAGGTTATGTAATTCTCTCCTGACTTAAGAGTAGGCAGGTACGACTGGCACACAAGGGCACGACGACCCACATTCAGGGTCAGGGATATTTCCAAAGCAAATCACATCGACATCGCAGTTAGTAAGAATACAATACACGAGTTGCAGCCGTAAGTCACGAAGCGAGCGTTTTTTCCCAAACACAAACAGCCAAATAATACAGAGCCTTGAACAGTTGCTGGCGCGATTTCACCCAAACCGAAGCGACCTCTGCGCATGTGCAATGGCAGAGTTTCAGGCAGCATAACGGAAACACAACGGAACGGAGCTCCCCTCGTTTATTTAAATCTGTTCCGGACTACTTCAAGAAAACCCAGTGATTCTCAGTATGAACAAAGACTGTTAAGTTTGGCTAGACCTAACACTGTTTCACCAGAAAAACTGCGGAGAGCAGTAACCTTTCTACACCAGGAGTATTTATGTTTTCATAGTTGCTCCCCTGACCATCTGTAGACCCGCTATTGCTCATGCACAGAGCTGAGCTTTCTACCTCGTCCGGTTCCGGTTGCTGACATTTGGCGTCGTTCCTCGTGTTCTCCGTTGTCGGTTCTACTCAATCAAGAGCAATGTCGAAGAAACCGAGCAAGAAATCTGTGACACCTGCGGTGAGGATATGTATTTGTAATAGATTTATCCTTGTAGTCGTATCTTGTCCGTTACGCAGGCTGGATTGACCCCTTTTTGACACGTTTAAAGGTGTCCCCGCAACGAATGATAGCAATGAGCTATGGGCCGTCAGCCTCGGAGCATCTTTGCTACAACTTTAGCGCACTTTCCTGTTACAAAAATGTTATATTAATTTCCCCGGTCGCATATGCGAGTGAGTAGGCCCCTCTGCGATGCTTTTCGGTCACCCTCGCGGACTACTTGTGAGACTTTCTATGATTACCGCTCCCACAGCATAACCTCCATTATCGTAGCTATTTTTAAGAGGCTCCGTTTTCTTCAGGTCATGAATCCTTTCATGTTCATGAGCCCGGAAATGATAAGCCAGTGGCAGACGCAGATGATGGCCATCATGGTGAGCACGCCCCCCTCAAGCACTCCTAAAGGTGAGACTTTTCTTGTATCAAGTGCTTCGTTGTGTTG